GGGGGACAAGCCACATATGTAGAAACCAAACCTAGTCCTTAGGCACACCTGGGAATTGAATAAAATATTGAGATCAACTGTTAGTCTAAAAAATTGACCTAAGATACAGTTAACAACCTGCAGCAAAGAAACTCTGCTGAGCTGACAGCTGCTGGGAGCACTAGAAAATGAGGCTTTCCCCTGAGGACAGTGACTAACAGACCTAGATCTGCCCCATTCAACAAGTCACCTGGTGCAGCCACTGTAAAAGATCCTGTAGGCCTTCACATAATGAAGGATTGGATATAAAGGTTATGTATTCAGCTGTAAGAGTCAGATGATGTGTAGGTGCCTTGCCTTTCTTACCAACGGGAGATGCCAGTTCTCAGCACAGTATAATAAAGTGAGGCAGAATTTCTAAAGAAACATATCAAGTACTTCAGATGCAACTAATGAAGGAATAGATAATTTCTCTTAATGTCTTATACGTTATTTGTCACAATTGGGCCTAAAATAACCAACCCACTAATATTTATATATACCACTTAAAAACTAACTAAAAAATATAGTAGAAATACAGAATTATGATATTCCCCAGGGCTGAGATGAACTGCCCATATCTGTTCTACAGAATCTTGAGTACCTCAGACACTAGTAGGATAAAATAATTATGTTAATTACGAGTGACACAATGCTTGAATGATACCAAGTGACAAAGAGGTGCATAGGGGCAGATGAGAACGTGAATATGGTATTTTTGTGGCATATCCTGAAGAGGATATTTTTTTAAGGGAAAAAGAAAAGCATTTTCAATATTTACTTGAGTATAAGTTTATGCAAATAATGTTGTTCTGCTTCCAGTTCATCTGCGCTCACAAATACTGAGCGGATACTCAGAACAGAGTAAGACAGTTTATCTTGCTTCTTGTCCGTGAAATAACTTGTTCCTGACAGTAACCTCTATCTGTGCACTGTGAATAAATGGAGGATCCCAAGCTCCTATTTTTACTGAACTATTAATGAGGACTTCAGTGTAAAAAAATCTGTAATGCTAATATATCTCATTATAAATGAGCACAAAGAAGGAGTCATTCCTCATGTGATGCCGCTGGAATTTCAGTCCAGGTAAATGAGAAAATTCTACGTCACAGCTCTGTGATAAAACTGATTGGCATTATTGTAATCAACACACACCTTATTAGGTATCACAGCCTCAATCCTCAAAAACCTAAAATCTCCTTTTTTTCCAAGTCTGCCCCTTTCAATTTTTTTCCAAAGACCAGATAAAACTACCTAGTGGAAGGAGGAAGTTATTGGCAGGATATGTGATTATCCTGATAATCCTAATACTCTAAGGAGTAAGATTTGCTCTTGAGTTAAGTATTAAGATAGGGAGTTCCTGAATTGAGAGAAGCTTAGTTAAGCTTGCAGGAAAAAAGCATAATGGAAGTTTACCAACAGCTAAATTAACCATCAACCACTGTCAATGCTTGTAGTCACTATTCTGTATCAATGTCCACAGCTGTAAGTAACACAGAAAGCAGTATTTGAAGATTAGCCTGATCAGTATGCACAGGATGAATTATTACCCTAAGTGATAATCAAGAGTCCTAAAAAGGAAACGGTTTTCTATGGTCTTCTCACATTATGATATGATACTTAAGTAGATTTTATCATTTGCACTAGCAAAATCATTTCCCTGGCTTCCTTATTTAAATCTCATCATACGGCCACTACTGCTTGAAAAAGCAAAAAGAATGGTAATAAATTGTCAAATTGCATTTGTAAGTAAAGCAATGCAAAGAAGGAGATTTATAGCATAAATGGGTAAAAATGTAAATATGAATGGAATCAGCTGTGAAGAAAGATCTACAGGAAAAAATGCTTAATGTTCATCATAAAGGAGAATAATTATTTATGGAAAAGAAGCAGGAAATTATTAAAGATTATCAAAGGGAAATGATTTACATTTAATTTTATAAACTGGGCAATGCCTTTTAATTAATTTTAATATCCAATACCTTTAGCTTGGATTAATACAATTTCATAATCTAAATAAAGCAGTTTAATCATTAAAAATTAGTCACATAACTGTGAACTTAATATAATTATGGATATGTTTGTACATTTCAGAGATTCTAAACAGCTGAAAAGTTTGAACTGAAATTCCAAGTAAAATATTCTTCAGATAGAGTAAAAAAACCACATCTGAAAACTTTCAAAAGGTTTTCATTCTGACTTGTTAAAGACTTAACAGTGGATGGTCTATATTAGATTCATATCTAGAAAACTTATTAACTGGGGAGCAGGTTTTATGATGATCACAGCCGGACCCAGTAACCAAAATGTCAAATTATACTTGGTTGACAGCCAAGGCAGCAGGAGGAAAGGGTGACATTGCCCTGGGCTTTCTCTGCTGCTGGAATCTTGCTCTACCAGCTGAGATTTCATGGGGCTGCAGGAGGGAGTGGGTAGAGTGCCCTTCACTGCTACCCTAGAAAATAAATAGCAAAACATTTTTATGCCCTGCTAGCACCTCTACTCATGGCATGACACAGATTTAGTTTTCCACCATAGTTGTCAGAACCCTGTAACTTACAGTTGAACCTCGTATACTTCAAAAAAGAAAGAGACGGATATATCGAATGGGTGTATGGAACCCAAAAAAACTGAGAAAGAAAAATACATACCGACAACAGTAACAATAATCAGAAATAGATACATAGGTAAGATTTATGCACAGAAAGAAATACCTAGGTAAAGAAACTATCAATACATGTTTAATTTAACCCTACATTAACTTCAGAGTTTGAATCTGTGATAAATTTTGTGATAAAAGAGAGGTAAAAGCAATTACATTGAATACAGATCTTTTTAGCTTCTCTAAAAGGTATCTATCTTAAATATTTATCACTTATAAAATTAAGCTGTCATATCTTGCAATGACTTAGAGAACTCAGTGTTGGAGCACCGAATTTGCAAGTTTGATTTCCTCTGAAGTACAGTTGAGTTTAATTAGAACAGAATCCTCAAAGAGCTCAGCACTGGACTATCCATTGTGAAAAAAAAAAAAGGATGGCTCTACATCACCGCTTTATAAACTCTGTCTTGCAAATCCCTGACCACAATTTTAGTTAGCAGAGTAGAAATTCGGGAACACAGCAGCTAGACATCCAACAGCTTTCCCACAGAAATGGTGAACATAACTTCTTAATCACTGTTCTAGAATTTTTTTTTTCCATTTTCCCTTGTCACTTCTTTCATTACAAATTAATTATTTCAGGATCATCTTGACTGGATCTCCATAAAAACCTCCTTATGCATTTGTCACAGTCACCCTCAAAAAGAATAATGTTACACCTTATATACTCTATTCGTATTAAATTAGATGTGAATATATCATTGAATTATTGTTAGTTTTTCCACAATTAGACTTTTATAAGAAAAATGTTCTGAAAATATTGAAGAGAAGGCTCTAGTCATATTTGTAAATTCTACACTGAATTTACCAAATAAAATTTCACTGAAAAATTTCACTGATCTTATTCTAGATGAATAAGATCAACATTCAGACATTCATAGTTACACAAAGAGACAAAAAGAATACATCAACATACAGCAAGTGTAAATCATTTTAGCACCAGGTGAAATGGGAAGAAGTCAGGGTCACTGGTTTACATCTATTTCTGAAATGTTAAATGAAAACGCAGAGGCAAGTGTTTGGGAGCAACAGAAGTGCCCACAAAGAAATGGTAGGTACATAGTCTCTCTGTTCTTTCTCTTCTTGTCAAATAATTTCACAACTGATTTTGTTTTTAAATTTTAAAGGTGTTTCACTGTGGGTCACACGAAGAGAGGATGGTACTAAGTAGCTGCTGTCCCCCTTTTTTTTAAAGAAGGCTTGCATCATTATTGTTAGTTTCTTTATTTTTTGTGATTTGGAAGGGACTCTTCAAAGAAGACAAACTGAATTTTTCCTTTTAGCTTTTTTGTGTTATTTCTAAATTATGTATGATACTTCTCATCCTGCATCGACCTAATGTTTTAAGTGGAAAGCCTGGAAAAATTTTCTAAAACTATAACAAATTCTTCTGAATGTAAACCAAGGCAAAGAACTAAACAGATTTCATTAGAATCAAGACAATCTTAATTTTACTATTCAGAATCTCCAGACCTGAAAATGGGGAATTGGTCTAACTATTCTATACTGTGCTTTGCAACAAAAATGTTGCAAGATGTTTCCTTACAACTCAGAAATGCAGGTTCCTGGTTATTTTAATTTTTCAATTTTTACTTTGTCACAACTAAAATATAGGTTACAGAACTATTCTTGCCTATTCAAAATCACAGAAAGGTATATAAAATGTAGTCTTAAGTTACAAGAGCAGACTCCTAGAAGTTCAATTATATGAGACAGTTTGGAACAAAGGTATTTGTATATTAAATTTGTCCAAATTTGCATATAAACAATAATGTTTCTCTTACTGACTCTGCTAGACCTTGTAATGTAACTCCTTTTTTTCAAATGCTGTATTTTTTTGTATCTAGGAAATGAGGTGCTGTAACACTTTATTAGGCTGTGAAACCTACTACTATCGTTGAAGTAAAATAAGAGGCAGTAATGCTATTGATTTTAATTTTTTAGTGTTGGAAATCCAATAACATTCTGAAATATTGTCTTTACCATATTTCAGCATTTTCTATTTTGCCTCATGTGACATCCCTCCCAGCTGTGAAATCTACACTGACATCCCTTCTGCCTCTCAAACGTATTAGCATGTGCCCATATTGCAAACAAAAATAACATATTCATTCCTTTTCATGTCACCCCCCTTGGCATATCTTGCATACCTCTGTCCTCTCCCACGACCTTCCAACTGCCATAGTAGCATATCTTATCGTTTGGGAAACACTATCAAAATCTAATGAAGACTAGAAGCAAATATTCTGCATTGTAGAGTAAGCCTGAAAATGAATTCAAAGCAAAGTATGTATATACTTAGAATTTCCTTTTTACTCACAAGAGGCTCTGCCATGATGATGCGGATTTTGCGTTCAGCCTGAGTAGTAAAGTTAACAAATAAGCTCTTCAGGACATATTCGCCTGGTTTACTGTCTGGGTCAACGCTGATAGGCAACATGGCTGGAGGTCCTTTTTCTCTCTGTGTGCCGGAAACAGGTGGGACGGGCGGCTTAATATATCCGTTACCAACTGGAGAAGCTGGAAGGTAAAAGATAAACATTTACTTTAAGGTAATTCAACGTATCTTGACTTTTCCAGAGCATCCCAATCTACTATACTGGCAGAGCAAAGCCAGACACTAGTTGATAATCAAAGAAGCACACAATATGTTAATACAATTTCCATATTATAGTAAATATATAGTTACATGTAAACTTTACATAATCTAGATTAGCAGAAGAAATCAAAGATGAAACCTTATATATTAAAACCAAGTAGCAGTTACTATGCAGAGACCACTCTATGCTCTTTTCTTACATTGTAAGACCTGCTGATACCTAGTTCTCTGAAAAACACTCTTATTTCTTATCATTTTATCTTCTAGGCCAGATCTCTAATTCAGTTGTCAAATAAATAATGTACTATTTATTGCTATTCAAACTGATCTATCCTTACATAAATCAGGAGTATACTTTTTTGAATAAGGTAAGTTGTAAAGGCCTGACTTTCTTCGTTTAGAATTTTGCTGTTTAAAACACGGAACTTCATCAGTATAAATCTTGTAGGAAAAGAGTCAGGCACAAAATATTTTTCCATGGCCAAAAAATGTCAATTATTTATTAGTTCTCCTGAAAGTATCAAACACTACAGTCATATCTGGCACTTGTGAGACCACTTCTGGAGTACTGTGTACAGTTTTGGGCTCCCCCGTAGAAAAAAGACGTTGATACGCTGGAGTGAGGCCAGTGGAGGGCCGTGAAGATAGTTAGGGGCTTAAGCACATGATATATGAGGACAGATGGGTTGGTTCAGCCTTAAAAGAAGGTTAAGGGAAGATCTTATTGCAGTCTTGAACTACCTAATGGGCAGGTATAATGAAGATGGACACTGACTCTTTCTGGAGTTGCACAATGACAGGACAAGAGGTAACAGACAGAAGTTGGAATAGGGTAAGTTCTGGTTAGACATATGAAAAAACTTTCGCTGTGAGAGTGGTCAAACACTAGCCCAAGTTGCCCAGAGAGACTGTGGAAACTCCCACTGTGGAGATATTCAAAACTCACCTGGACAAGCTCATGAGCACTGTAATCTAGATGGACTTCCTTTGAGCCAGGGACTGGACGAAATGACCTCCCAAAATCCCTTCCAATCTAAATTATTCTGTGATTCCCTACAACTCCTATCAAGATAGTGTATGTTATACATCGCTCTAGTTCCTCTACTTCTGGGAAACGGGAACAAAATTAAATTGAAATACTATGAAGATAAAATCAGTTCAAACACTATTGTTCCATGCATAAAATTCCTAAACTGAAATCTGCAGGTTTAGTTCTTATTTGTAATAAGAGTTATGTCTGGTCTTCAGGAAGATACTGGTAGCATCCTCTGTTAGCTTTGCCAGAGACGTCGTAAGTAGCAAACGAAGCAACACTGGAAGGACGATAATGTGCCATTCTGAATGCAATGTAAGTGCTGCAACATCCGTGACCACTGCTGGTGATTGGTATAGAGCTATTTTAATGCAATACAAAAAGTGGAAAATATTATAAGCTAATACCATTTCCCCATAGCATGGCATTCCTAAGTATTACATTGTATGTTGTTTCCAAGTTGTGAAGAAAGAAAGAAAGAAGAATGAACTACAATGGTGGATGCCTCACATCTAATGCCTTTAGCATTTCCTTTTGAGGAACAGAGTTGCAACTACTACTGAAAGTAATTGTCAGCTATTAACTACATTAGATTACTTTAAGAATAAATGAGATTTTAGATCTCTCCTAAATATTTTAACATTTTATTGCTGCAAAAACCTGAACCATCTCAATCCCAATTAGTACATTATCATTTGAAAGTGTTCAGGATGTCACAAAATTAGACCCCAAATTCATACAGTGAAAAATAAAAAACTGCATTGGATAAAGAGAACATATTTCTCTTTAGAAAATCAAAGTTTAGAAGTCCACTACATGACTAAACTGTAAGATAGAAATGCTTTTGTTTGTGTAACTATTATTCTGCAAGTATGACACATCCAATTCATATCACACTTCACCTTGAAAATAACTCCTCTGACAGATAAACTATGACTCTTTAGCACAGCAGCACCACTTCTTCCATTCACTTAGATTTTCCTCCTGCAAAGTTTCACTTGATTTCTGAGGCTAAAACACAATCACTGAGTTTTGCTTGCAATATGATCCTTTGCCTAAAACAAGTTGTATAGAACACTTTTACATTTATATTACACAAAACTGTTTCCAAAAATACACAGTTGTTCTGAATAATCATCTACTTCAGAGTAATGAGAAAAGAGCCACCAGAGAAGAGCATAATCACAGTTCCTCTCCTGTCATCACCTAGGCGCTCCTAAAGTTTAGGCGTGAGGGCAATGGAATGCAATGGATCAAAGGCAAATTTACATGGACTATCAAATCTATTAGGTCATGGAAATTTCTCCCCAAATAGCTTTAGAAAGGAGTCAGACAATATTTTTACAATTACTAATATATTTGTCAAATACATGGTTTTGATTGGCTCAGAACTATCCATGAAATTAGTTTGATTGCCAAGTGCTTAATTAGGATAAATGGCTTTCTGTGAGCAGTGAAAGCAGTTTTCTTGTGGATTTATATCCTTTGCGCTGTAAATGTCCTGCCCTCCCCCATGTCGCTATCTCAGGCTGCCCCCAGCCATTGCTTAGCCTCCCTCCTGAGGCTCTGCAGCCAGGGCTGTGCACATGCACTGCCAGCCTGCCTCTTCAAAACCCCCAGCCCTCGGGTGCTGCTGCCTTTCTCTGACCACGGCCATAATCCGAGACTCCCTCCTGAAGGACTCTGCAGGAATCCAATCAAATGCAAGCTTGGCATCTGCTCCACAGGCAATTTTGGTTTAAATGAGCTACTAAGTTTAAAAGTTACTAAGGGACTGGCAGAGAGAGGGAGAGAGGAGGCATTGACGGAAGCAAGACAGTGTGTGAGAACATGCACACCTCACATCCTTATGAAATTAAGTTTGAAAACCCTTACTGCATTCCCTGCGAGCAGCCATTCTTGCCTTCTACCATTATGACACTTACCCGAAATTTTGGTGACATCTG